GGCCACTTCGTGGTCTTCGAGTCCCCAGAACTCCATTCCCGGGCCACATTTTGAATGCCCGGAGCCAACTGTAGGCCACTTCGTGCTCTTCGAGTTCCCAGAACTCCATTCCCGGGCCACATTTTGAATGCCCGGAGCCAACTGTAGGCCACTTCGTGCTCTTCGAGTTCCCAGAACTCCATTCCCGGGCCACATTTTGGATGCCCGGAGCCAACTGTAGGCCACTTCGTGCTCTTCAAGTTCCCAGAACTCCATTCCTGGGCATGATTTTGAATGCCCGGAGCCAACTGTAGGCAACTTCGTGTTCTTCTAGTTCCCAAAACTCCATTCCTCCATGCTCCTGGGCCACATTTTGAATGCTGAGGCAGGCTGATGCTGCGGCCCGAGGGAGGCTTCGGCTGGGGCTGAGGCTGAGGCTGAAGCAGCTGAGGCTGAGGCTGAGGCAGGCTGAGGCTGAGGCTGAGGCTGAGGCTGAGGCTGAGGCTGAGGCAGAGGCTGAGGCTGAGGCTGAGGCAGCAGGCTGAGGCTGAGGCTGAGGCTGAGGCTGAGGCAGGCTGAGGCTGAGGCAGGCTGAGGCTGAGGCAGGCTGAGGCTGAGGCTGTGACTGCGACTGCCGTTGCCGCTGCGACTGTCATCGCGAATGCGACTACGACTGCGAGAACAGCAGAATTATACAACTGGATTTTCGTTTGAATCTTAAGGGGAATGCTTTCATATATGCTTCTACACAACGCTGTTAGGTTGCTTTGCCGGGATAATTGGCGTCTTCGGGGCCTCCTTGGGGAGCTCTTTGGCCACTTGGAAACGTCTTGGAGCGGTCTTGGACTCTTGGGGCCTCTTGGAGCATCTTTGAAGCCATCTTGAACGATCCTGCGCTATCTTGAGCCATCTTGGAGGCCATCTAGGGTCGCTGAGGCCGTTTTTACCTAACAGCGAAGACTGATAGGTTTCTAATGGGCTAAAAAGAGAGCAGCAGATGACTCCACAGGGGGGTCTGGGCGGGTGCCGGACAGGGTGCCGCAGAAGTCGTTTTAAGCCAACAGTCAGACACTTCGTGCTCTTCGACCTCCCAGAACTCCATTCCCGGGCCACATTTTGAATGCCCGGAGCCAACTGTAGGCCACTTCGTGCTCTTCGACTTCCCAGAACTCCATTCCCGGGCCACATTTTGAATGCCCGGAGCCAACTGTAGGCCACTTCGTGCTCTTCGAGTTCCCAGAACTCCATTCCCGGGCCACATTTTGAATGCCCGGAGCCAACTGTAGGCCACTTCGTGCTCTTCGAGTTCCCAGAACTCCATTCCCGGGCCACCATTTTGAATGCCCGGAGCCAACTGTAGGCCACTTCGTGCTCTTCGAGTTCCCAGAACTCCATTCCCGGGCCACATTTTGAATGCCCGTAGCCAACTGTAGGCAACTTCGTGCTCTTCGACTTCCCAGAACTCCCTTCCTGGGCCACATTTTGAATGCTGAGGCAGGCTGATGCTGCGGTCGAGGCAGGCTGGGGCTGAGGCAGGCTGAGGCTGAGGCCGAGGCTGAAGGCAGACTGAGGCTGAGGCTGAAGCAGGCTGAGGCTGAGGCTGGCAGGCTGAGGCTGAGGCTGAGGCAGGCTGATGCTGAGGCAGGCTGAGGCTGAGGCTGAGGCTGATGCAGGCTGAGGCTGAGGCAGCCTGAGGCTGACGCCGAGGCTGAAGGCAGACTGAGGCTGAGGCTGAAGCAGGCTGAGGCTGAGGCTGAGGCAGGCTGAGGCTGAGGCAGGCTGAGGCTGAGGCTGAGGCAGGCTGAGGTTGAGGCTGTGACTGCGACTGCCGTTGCCGCTGCGACTGTCATCGCGAATGCGACTACGACTGCGAGAACAGCAGAATTCTACAACTGGATTTTCATCTGAATCTTAAGGGGAATGCTTTCAGATATGCTTCTACACATCGCTGTTAGGTTGCTTTGCCGGGATAATTGAACCATCTTGGGCGACACTGTTCCCTCTGACACCTCGCTGGCGCCCCCGTCCAGGTCCAAGGGAGGGGGTGGGGGGAGGGGTCAAGACGCCCTCCCCGCCCGCAAGCCGTATCGCTCACCTCCACCCGCCCTCCCAACACATACGTAGCACCCGAGCCTGGTCCGAGCCGCAGCATGTTCAGCAGTCGTCTTTGGATGGGCAGCTACTGGGGGCTAGTCCGCCGCCGCCTCCGCCGCCGCCACCGCCGCCCGCCGCCGCCGCGTCGCCGCCGCCGCCGCCGCCGCCGCTGTCCGCCGCCGCCGCCGCTGCGCCGCCCGCCGCCGCCGCCGCCGCCGCAGCTGCCGAATCGCCGCCGCAGCCGCTGCCGCCGCAGCCGCTGCCGCCACCGGTGCCGCCGCCGCCGCCGCCACCGCCGCCGCCGCCGCTGCTGCCGCCGCCGCCGCCCCGCCGCCGCCGCCGCCACCGCCGCCGCCACCGCCGCAGCCGCCGCAGCCGCTGCCCCCGCCGCAGCCGCCGCAGCCGCCGCCGCCGCCGCCAAGTGTACTCTGTATTGTTCTTTGACAGGGATGGTGGGGGGATGCCGCATCGGGTTCGCTGCGTATGCTTCGAATTTGGAGGCAGAGTGTGTTTTGTATTGTTTTTTACAAGGGATGGTGTGGGGGTGCCCTCATTGACTCGGGTTGGCTCCCAGTCGCCTGGGGGAGGGGGTGTATATTAATAGGGAAAAGTGATCAACCCCTCCCCGAAAGGGAAGAAGGGGTTGGAAGAGGAGCCTCACTAGATAAACTTCGCCCAGAGGGCTGGTGGGATTCAATCGCCACCCTTGAGCGCACCGCCTGGATCATCTGGGACTCCTGTCCTCAGACTGATATGTTGCCCATCCTCCCTTGGGAAGGAGGAGGAGGAGGAAGAGGAGGAGGAGGAGGAGGAGGAGGAGGAGGAGGAGGAGGGAGAGGATGAGGAGGATGAGGAGGAGGAGGAGGAGGAGGAGGAGGACGAGGAGGAAGAGAAGAGGAGGATGAGGAGGAGGAGCAGGAGGAGAAAGCGGCGAGGGGGCGGCGAGGGGGTTTGGCCTCCGTGGTGCGCCGGTCGGCCTCTCTCGTGCCGCCGCCCGCTCGGCAGGTACCAGAGGTACGCAGAGACGGGGGCCACTGTGAGGCGAGCGGCTGGGGGCGGGGACTTTGGAATGCGGAGCAGCAGCAGGAGGAGCGGAGGATGGGGAGGACCTCCCTCCTCTCTCACCCCTTCCGTCCTCCACGCTCTCCCCTCGCTCAGACTCATCCTGTCTTCCTTCCTCATCACCCCTCTCTTTGCCCCTGCCCTCCTTCCCCTCTCCCGAGAGATGCAGGAGGAGAAACGGAGAGAGGAGGAAGGGAGGATGAAGGATGGATGGAGGATCGAACCTGGAGGATGAAGGAGGGAGGAACGAGAGGGGCGGAATGATGAGAACGGAGGGATGGAGGAGATATGAAGAAGGAGGGAGGACTGAGACAGGAGCGATGAACGAATTCTCCTCCTCCCCCCATTCTTTTTCCCGTTCCGTCTTCCTCTTCCCTCCCATATCTTCCTCCAGCTTCTGCCAGAGCGTCGGGGCTGTTGTCGCGTCTCCGTTGGGGGTGGGCCGGGCTCGATCATGATTCGGTCTGTCATGGTGCCCTCGAGTTTGGTTACCGTCTGGCATGAGATGGGAACATCCCCGCCCACATTGTGCGCTGGAGCACGTGCCAAACGCATGTTCGACACCTCACTTGGCCAGCCAGTAGTACAGTCAAGACGCTGAAATAAGGAACAGTTTGGGTTCGGAAGGGACTCGATATTCCTTAGGTTCCTCCGGTGCTGTTCCTCTTGCCCTCCTGGGGCACGGAGGCGCTTGCATGGCCACGAAGGGGCTTCGTTCCTTATTTCGCGTTCCTTCTTTCAGCGGCCCGACTGTACCTCAGCGTGCACACCATGCACTTGTTCGAAATCCCTTGGCTCGCACATTGTAGGCGCAGCCGCACGGCACGCGCACGTTCGATATACGCCTCCTGGCCTGCAGGGTGTACGTCGAAGTGCGTGCCAGCAACACCTTTGATGCTCCCTTGGCCAGCACACTGTATACTCGAGCACGTGCCAAGCGCATGTTCGAGCTGTCTCCTCCCTGCCTGCAAGCTTTACGTCGGAGCGCCTGCCAGCCGCTTGTCCGATATCCACCGTGGCCCACTATCGGAAACTGGCACGTTCAAGTTGCCAGTGGCGGGCGGTTCTTCGATCCCAGGACTTTTTGAGGGTCGGGGACGACGTCGGGGTGGTGTGGTGTATACTTTGTTCTTGTTTCCTCATGGAAGCAACGAACAATGTATACACCAGGATCCCGTATACGCCAGGATCCGCTTTCCCGTGCAAGTGTCAGTGCAGGGCTGGACAAAGCGTCGGTGCATAGAGTTTGGTTCTCTAAATCCGCTGGATGCGGAGACATGTCTCAAGCGCACGGTCGATCCCTACTATGGTCAACGATTTCTATTTCACCTCGCGTGCCGAAAGCACGGCCCCCCTGGCCGACCAGGCTGTTCGCCAACACGTGTGCAGACGCATGCCCGATATCCCCACCCAGGCCCGCGCGCGTTTGTGCAAGCGTTCAAGCCAATCACGCGCGTCATGTGATCGTGCTCTTGTTCATCGTTTTGCCGAGCGGCGCGGGCCCCCGCCCCCCCCCCCCGGGGAGAAGATCTTGGCTGTTTTTGGCGCCTGTTTCACGAGAAGGAGGAGGAGGAGAAGGAGGAGGAGGAGGAAGAGAAACAGGAGGAGTAGGAGAGTAGGAGGAGGAGGAGGAGGAGGAGGAGGAGGAGGAGGAGGAGCAGGAGCAGGAGGAGGAGGAGTCTCCCCCATAGGACGTACGGATGCAAACAGTCGCATGAAGCTAAGGGCCGGAACCAGACACCCCCTTCCGCACACTGTCGAAATGCCGATCAAGAGATCGCTCACAATACCTCAGTGGCTCAATCGTTCTGCGTTCCAGAACATACAACGCGTGTTCAACTCCCCCTTGCCTGCAGCTTGTATACGCCGTGGCCTTCGGTCCATCTAGCCATCGTGCCTGGGTCGTTCGCAAGATGCCTCGGGGGGTCCTGGAAGACCTCATGGGGCGTCTCGGAGGCCTCTTTCTTTTGAGCTTCTTGGGGGCCTCTTCGAGGTTTATTGGGGGCCTCATGGGGACCTCTTTGGGGCCTCTGGGGGGCCTCTTGTTCGCTGGGGCCTGGTGGCGGTCTCGGGGGCCATTTGGGGTGGAGGGTCCCTAACGGCCACTCCTGGGGTCTTTTCGGGGACCTCCTGGGTCCACTTGCAGGCTTGGGGGTGCCGTCTGGTGGCGATCTCGTGGGCCTTGTGGGCCGTCCGTGATGCTACAGGCACGACAAGGCGAGTGCGAGAAAGCATACCAGAACCCATGTCTTTGCAATGTGATGCGCGTCTTGGGCGGGCCCCGAGGGCCTCCAGGACGGCTCAAGAGGTGCCCAAGAGAGCCTCAGGACGGCCCAGAGGGACAATCTTAGATAATGTTTGAAAGTTTGGCTTGCGAACCGCGCTCCCGAAGCCTCGGGAAAAGTCACGACGAGCCTATCCCTGGCAGCGTCCGGAAGCGACCAATACCACCCAGGATGTGCGAGCACTAGCAATGCCACATGCAGAGAACTCGGAGGGAACTGACGACATTCTACTTCATGCCTCGGGGCGTGGTGGCTCATGTTAAAGTGCGTGTGCCGAACGCATGTTTGACATCCCTTGGGCTTACGTGAGTGAAAACACGTGCCTAATGCACGCGAGTCAAATTCACTTTGCCCCCCCAGTGCACGTCATCTGACGTATGCAGGATGCGCCGATGGCTGTTTGGCACCACTCCAGTGGTGCCAGAGACCACACAACACAAAGAAAATCTTTGGCGGGAGCCCTTGCAGGGAGTATGCTGGTCGGCTTGACCCAAACTTCCTTGCGGCGCCGCTGCGGATGCTTCCCTTTCTCTTGGGAGGTGATCGGTCAGTTGGCTGGGATCGTGGCACGGGCCCTTCGCGTGAAGGGGACAAGGCGCGTTAGGGATGTGCGCGCATGCGTTTGCAGATGATACATCGGGGGGCCCAGGCTCAACTATCACAGGCTGGCTTGTCAAGTGTTTCTGGTTCGCCCGGTGCTCTTTCGCTCCACGCCGTCGTGGTGTTCGTCGCGTTGTAGTGGTGTCACCCAGTGGGCAAAACATACATGATGACAGGCCAGCCAAGGAGAACGAGGAACGCCAGGAGTGGCATGGACGTGGTGAGGAGGGGAGTGATGGAGAGCCGCGCTCGCCGCCAGCTGCCACAGGGGTCAGATCGAGGACAATGGTGAGTGGCTCCGGATCAGCCGCGACGTCTTTTTACCCATGAGGAGACGCCGATGTTGTTCCGCATGTATTCTTTCGTGCTTGTCGAGAGTGTTGCTGCTGCTGTTGCTGCTGCTCTATACGATGTCTCTGAGCTCTCCTCTGCATGACGCCGATGATGCGGTCAACCAAGCATGGGCTTCGCTCTGGCCTGCCCGTCGTTGCCTGCAGTTGCCTACACTTGCCACTGCGACGCTTCTGCTTTGCCCAGCCGATCGCCTGTGGCCACGAGTTTACTGTTTATTGCATTGGCATTCCTTGCCTGCTCTACGCTGCAGTGCCTCGCATCTCAGCCTCATTTGCTGTGCCCGTCCCGGCGGCCGGGCGAAGGGCGACCGTTCTTTGATGCCTCCACCGTCTTCTGCTTCTCTCCCCTGCGCCCCTTCCCCTTCGCCAGTGTCGCCTGCTCCGAATTGCGTAGTAAGCGCTAGGGGCCCTCGGAGGTGGATAGACCTCCTACCCTGACACGTCGATGAAGGAGTTGGCCGTTTTCGGTTCGCGAGAGGGCGTCGCGGCCGTCATTTTTGCGGGTCCAGGTCCGTCGGTTTCGGTCCCAGGCCGTTTTCACTAAGGGGAGGTTTACTAAATGGAGGTTTGTCCACCGCCGAGGCCCGCCACCCCCGTCGCGGTCAACCACCGTGCGCAGAAGGTGCTTCAGAGCCCTGGCGCGCGCGCCGACGTGGCGGGGTGGACCTCCTGCCGGAGCGGTGCACCCCCTACGCTCCTCTCACGGAGCGCGGAGGCAGTGGGGTCTTGTGTTGCCGCGACTGGAGTAGGGGGGCGAAGGGCGTGGGGTGCACCTCTCTCCCCGCCCTCCGAGGCGGGGGTTTATCATCCGTAACCGCTCGCCTGGGGATCGATCGTCTGAGTCATCGGCAGGCGGCGGCTATATCCGCCGCCCGCCCAGGTCTCAGCAGGTCGATCCCCCAGGCGGTGCTGATAGCTAAATCCCCGCCTCACACCCTCGCTCTCTCTCTCTCTCTCTCCCTCTCTCTCTCTCTCTTTTTGTCTCTCTCTCTCTCTCTCTCTAGAGAGAGAGAGAGAGAACAAACAAAACAAGAGAGAAAGAGAGAGAGAGGGAGAGAGAGCGAGAAGGAGAGAGAGAGAGTGGTTCTCCAGAGACTCTGGTCTTCCGCCCTCCGCCAGGCTGCGGCGGGTTCGCGCCGCGTCGACGCGGTGGCGACCCCGCCGCGGGCGTGCGAGGGGGAGCGCAGCCGGGTGCCCTCGAGCGGCCGATGCGGAACGAATCTGGCGATCGACACGTCGCCGATCGTGCAGGGCGGAACGATCCACGTGGTGTCAGAAAAAAACCATCGTCGGGGTGTCAGGAAAACCATCGCCGTGCAGGAGGATCGAGAAAGAGAAATGCTCGACGGCGAGGAAGCGGCATAAGGATAAACTTGGCGTGGGTCTCCACTGTTTGTTAATATCGTATTTAGAGGAACCAAACAGCGTTATAAATATACACTTGTGGCACTCCGCGCGGATTTCTTGGATCTGCGCTGAGCCCCCCTCCCTGGCGCGGACCGCGCCAGGGGCGGCGGCCGAGGCGCCGCCGGAGAGCCCCAGTGCAGATCCAAGAAATCCGCACGGAGCGCCGAAAGCTTATGTTCATGCCGTTCTTCTAAGCACGACATGACTATGCAGTGGAGACCCATGCCAAGAAACACCCTGCTTGCCTTCAGTGTGCCCTGGGTTTCTTGGATCTCGGTGGTTTTGAATTGGAGAACGTGGCGTTCTCACGCCAAAAAATGAAGGGACGTCCTGGGGTCTGAGGGTTGGGTTTCTCGTGGAAGGTCTTTGTGGTCGAGCTCCTACACTATGCTTCTGAACTCCGCGTAGATCACTGAGAGACTGTGTGTATGCCGCTTCCCGTTCCTCTAGAAGAGGCCCTCTCCGCGCCACGCGACCTCCCCCCTCGTTCAAGAGGGGGCGGAGGCCCCAGCCCCAAAGTGTCGGACCTTGATTCCTCATGAGTTTTTATGTTTGTTTTTTGTTATACCACACCTTCCCCGCCCCAGTCATACCAATAAAGCAACCCTTCGGGTGATAAGGAGGTTCAGGGGGGGGAGGAACCAACGTCGAACTCGATCGGTCTCACTATCGCTCTCACTATCGATCTCACTATCGGTCTCGCTCGATCGATCTCACTCGATCGATCTCACAATCGATCTCACTCGATCCATTTCATTCGATCGATCTCACAATCGGTCTGACAATGGATTTCACAATCGATCTCACTATCAATTTCACTATCGATCTCGCAAACGATCTCACATTCGGTCTCTCTAGCAATATCAGTATCGATATCACAGTCGATCTCACAATCAACGTCATCATCATCAACATCATCGTCATCGACGTCGTCATCATCATCATCATCATCATCATCATCATCATCATCATCATTTTGGCTCAAGTTCGAAACGTGCGACCCTGGCGCTTCGAGCTCGGTCGCAACCGAGGGGACAGCTCGAATCCTGGGCACAGCTGCCCTGCTCTGGTTCCCCCTCTTTCCGACCAGATCGGACCACGTCCTCGTTATCAGTCAGTGCTCTGTTCGGCGGTGCCATGGCGCCGAACGCTACAGAGCAAGCGATCAAGGATCTGGCAGTTCAGGTGGCGAAGATGAATGCGTCGGTCACGAAGGTGACGGAACAGGTAGCCGAACTTGCCGAACCGATGAAGATTTTGCAGGCGGGTTTGATTCAGCAAAAGAAGAAACTTGCAGAGACGGATGCGGCGTTGGCGGCGTTGAAAGCGACGGCATCAAGCAGCGGCGGCAGCAGCTTCGGATTCAACAGCGACGGCAATGGTGAGAGCTCAGCGAAGAAGGCCCGTGTCAGTGCTCGTATCAGGCTCGGTAGCCAGGACTTGCTCTCGAAAGGCGCTGGTGTGGGCTTTGGGGGTGAGTTCACTCATGCGGTCCTCACTAAGGCTAGCCAGGATATTCTCGCGTCGTGCGCCAGTGGTGAAGCCCAGGCTCAGATGAAGGTCACTCCTCAGAACTTCCCGAAGAACGTGATTGTTGCGTTCCCGTCTGGCGATGCAGCGTCTGAGACGATCGAGACCTTTCGTAAGAACTCCCCCGACGGCTACTCCTACACTACTCCTAAGGGCCCTCGCATTCTGCGCCTTAAGCCTCTCAGGGGTGGGGAGACTAACAAGCAGCTCGCCGTGATGGGGGAGAATCCTTCGGAGGTCGAGTCGGTTGTGAAGACAGTTCCTCAGCTCGCAGGGCGGAAGGTCGACTCGTCGTTTGGCAACGGTTTCATTTCCATTGTTAATGAGTCGACAGGAGACGCCCTTAAGTTGTACAGCGTTCAGAAGCCGTCGACAGTTTTTCGAGCAGCCGCATGTGATCGCCTTCGCCTGTCACTTTGAGCAGATCGGTCTCTCGGGTAAGCACGATGAGATTGTGACAGAGGTGACGGAGCAGTGGAGCCTTTAGCGGCGATGCTCCAGAGTCTAGCGCCTCCGTGGAGGCGGGGTGGCTGACATAGGAAGTAGCCTCTCTCCTGTGCGAAGGCCGTTTCGATGTGGCCAAAAGCTATCTAGGGGAGTGCGGGGCGTCGACGTCCATCCCCTTCCTTCCAAAGGAACCGATCTCGATCGCCACGTGGAATGCCAGGGGTCTATTCGCAAGCGCGGCTAGTGTGACAGATCGGTCTTGTACGCGTTGGCGTCCAGTCTCGGCTCTGCTACGTCGTGGCCACATAGTTTGTATTCAGGGGCCTCACGGTCACGAGGGTGACTTGGTCTCGCTTTGCAAGGAGTTCACGTCTCACAGGTTCTACTTCAATCTTCGCCCAGATAACTTGCAAGGCCATGGTGTACTCGTCTGCGTGCAAGATAAGCTAGCTTGTCATTTCCGCGGTTTCACTCAGAAGATTCCCTATCCTGGTAAGGCGTCGTACGTTCTTGGATGGGTTGAGGCTGGTCTCTTGGGGATTGTCGTTGTTCACCTTCCGAACGTCGATGCAGGGGCTGGTTGCTATCGTCACTGCCTCTCTTGCATCCAGTCCGCTCTTCTCCCTGCCGCTGCTGCCGCCCGCGTCGTGCTCGGTGACTTCATTTTTGTCTTCAGTGATGAAGGGGGATTAAACTTAGATGTCGGGGCTCTCACTCGGGGCGACACGGCCTTTACCCGCGAGTGGAATGCTGCCTTTGGTTCCTGTACGGAGATTTGCCAGCCTCTCGATACTCGGCGCGCCTGACAGGGCCCCAAGGTTGCATCGACGGCCCGTCTTGATCGAGTGCATGTGGGCATTCCCCCTGCCGTGTTTATGGGCCTTGTCGCGACTGGAGCCACTATCGGGATGCCCATTAATCTCAAGAGCCCTTCTGACCACGCCCCCGCGATGGTCACCCTTGCCCCGAAGCCTCGTGTGTCTGACGGCCCTCCCCCGATCCCTGGTTGGGCCCCTGCCGCTGGAGTGCGCCGGGTGTTTGGACGGGCTGATCGCAGACATTGATCGGAGCCTCCCGATTCGGTTGCAGCTCGCTCGCGCCAAGGTGGCAATGCATGAGGCTCGTGCTGAGTTTCGTAAGATCCTTCGTTCACGGCTGGCGACGACTGCCCATGAGTATCTGCATTGGTGTATCTCTGCTCTGCGAGGGAGTCGAGCTTCCACCTCCTATCTTGTTGTGCGCGCAGTGCGTGCGTATCCGTGTCTAACCAGCTTCTCTGACGTGGATGCTGGCGCGTTCTTCGATCCACAGGGGCTGCATGCGCACATTGCAGCTCTTATCAACCAGTTGTTAGATGATGAGGAAGAGGCTCTCCAGCATGCGGGCGAACTCCCTGAGCACGAAGTGGCGCGCCGTCGCGCACGTGCGCAGCGCAATAGGGAACGTTGGCGCAGTCTGAATAAGTCGATCCGTCTTGGGAACATCTTGGTTGAGAGCACGGGTGCACCTTGCACGTCGGTCCAGCATGCGGGTGCAGAGCTGTCACGTCATTGGGGTTCGGTCTTCGCGGCCAAGCCCCCCAACCGTTCGCTCT